CCCCCCCCTTCCCCTCCTTGGGAGTTCCGCGTCTCGGTTTCCACTCCGGCCCAGCTTAATGGCCTCTTATGAAAAGTGAGCCAGACTTTCCTTTCCTTGCTCCCTTCTTATCTACCTACCCAACTACCCAACCCACCCCTTTGGCCCTTCAGCCCCGATTCACTCACAGGTTCTTGCCTGTGATCAATTCCGGGCGCTGCTGACGCAGCCGCAGGATGTACTCCCCAGACCAGTTCATGAATCCGGGGCCTGCTCCCCGGCCCCCAGCCGACCGCCCACAGCTCAACCTGCCTACCAACCCCTCCAACAACGTGGCTACCTCCTTCAGCCAGATGAGTCTGAATTCCCCGAGCACCCCCGGTCCGGCCAACCTCTCACTGTTCCCCAACACGAGTACCCCCTCGCTCACGCGCACCAAGACCGATCAGTCGGGCGGAGGAGGCGTCACCGTCATTAAGGAGGGGTATGTTCGCTGCAAGGAAGACAAATTTCTGGCGACATGGAATCAGCGATATTTGATCTTGCGCGAATTCCGTCTTGACTTTCTCAAGAATGAGACGGGGAAGATCGTGCTTTCCATTCCGCTGACGGCGGTCACAGGCGTCTCGAGATCGGAGGATACTCGCATGGCCTTCGAGATCATTCGTCTCGCCAACCCCAAGGACGTAAATTCCAAAACCGCCGTGATCACCCGCGATGTGCCCACCAAGAGCATCACTTGCGAAGTCAAGAGCGATGACGAGATCTACGACTGGATTGATAAGATCTACGAGCGCTGCCCTGGTATGGGAGGGGTGAGCAACCCCACGAACTTCAGCCATCGTGTTCACGTCGGGTTCGATCCGCGCACCGGCGCCTTCGTGGGCTTGCCGCCCGAGTGGGAGAAGCTCCTAACCGCGTCCGCAATCACCAAGGAGGATTACAAGAAGAACCCCCAGGCGGTCATTGAGGTGCTGGAGTTCTACTCGGACATTAAGATGCGCGAGCAGAACCCTCAGTACTACGCCGGACTTTCCTCGCCGGCGAACCAGCAGGCGAAGCCGTTCAGCGGCGGCGGCTCCGTGGGCAATTCGATTGCGCCCCCAAGGCCCCCGCCGCCCGCTCCTGCGCAGCGCTTGGACAGCGGTGGCCAGTCGTACTCGAGCCAATCTCCTGTTTCGTCTCCTTCGCAGTCCAAGTCGGATTCTGATCGTGCTTTGGAGCAACAGCAACAATTGGAGCGGATGAACGAGTTGGCGGATAAGGAGCGTCGCCGCATGGAAGAGGATCGTCGCGCACGTCAGCGGGAAGAGGAGCAGAATCGGCTCGATCAAGAAGCGTACAATGCCTCTTTGCCCAAGACTCGCGTCCCCTTGGCCAAGCAAGAGCTTGGTGGCTACGGCCAGTCCCCCGATGATCGTTACAAGCCCAGCCGCCCCGCCCCGCAGGCTCCTGGCTCCTCTCGCCAGGATCCTCCGCGCCAGTTGACTGCTCAGCGCCCTGCCCCGTCCGCTCCGACCGCCGGACAGCGACCTGGAGACTACGCCAACGGCTCTGCTAGGGCTGAGCAATCCTCTCCGAGCTCCAGACACCCGGCTCAGGGACAGTCCCCTGCACGGGCTCAGAACAATGGCGTCAAAGCGCAACCGGCCCAGGGCCCTCCTCCCAGCAAGCTGCCTGCTCCGGTCCAGCCTGTGAAGCCCTTGAACATTGCGAACAAGCAGACCGCGAAGACAAATGTTCCCGATGGCGTCCGCCAAGCCGAGGCGGCCCTGAGCAAGAAGGCAGAGCCCCGCCAGAGGGAAGTGCGCATGTCGAACATGAGCGAGAACGAGGTCATGGATCGCCTGCGTTCTGTCGTCTCCAAGGACAACCCGAACGAGTCTTACAGCAAGCAGCGGAAGATTGGACAGGGTGCCTCCGGATCCGTGTATGTGGCGCGTGTTAAGGAGCATGCTACGTCCGGCGTTGCGCGTGAGCTTTACCGGCAGTACGGTCCCCGTACGCAGGTGGCTATTAAGCAGATGGACTTGCGTAGCCAGCCTCGGAAGGAACTCATTGTCAACGAGATTATTGTCATGAAAGACAGCCAGCATGCGAACATTGTCAACTTCCTTGACTCTTTCCTGCAGGAGCAGAGCAACGAGTTGTGGGTTGTCATGGAGTTCATGGAAGGTGGTGCTCTTACGGATGTCATTGACAACAACCCGGTGATCCAGGAAGATCAAATTGCCACAATCTGTGCAGAGGTGCGTAAATCAACCTCAATTCTACCCGAGGATTGATACTAACTTTTGGGAACCGCGAGCAGACCTGCAAGGGATTGGCCCATCTGCACAGCCAGAATATTATCCATCGCGATATCAAGAGTGATAACGTGCTTCTTGACCGGGCTGGTCACGTCAAGATTAGTGAGTAGCTGTCTGATGACCAAGGGAGATTGATGCTGACGACCTCTTAGCCGATTTCGGATTCTGTGCTAAGCTTACCGAGTCGAAGAGTAAGCGTGCCACAATGGTCGGTACTCCGTACTGGATGGCGCCCGAGGTGGTTAAGCAGAAGGAGTATGGCCCCAAGGTGGACTGCTGGTCACTGGGTATCATGGCCATTGAAATGATCGAATCAGAGCCCCCATACCTCAATGAGGAGCCGCTCAAAGCCTTGTACCTCATCGCCACCAACGGCACTCCTCGCTTGAAGAAGCCGGAGAAGCTCAGCAAGGAGCTCAAGTCGTTCCTGAGCGTATGTCTCTGTGTTGATGTGCGCAGCCGAGCCACCGCCGATGAACTGTTGGCCCATGACTTCCTCAAGCTGGGCTGCAGCCTCGCGAGCCTGGCGGAGCTGCTCCGTTGGAA